ATAATATTTAATCAAAGTAGAAAATGAGACGGACGTATAATATATAAATATACATATTTCTTTTAATTTGCCTCGCACCGGCAAATTAAAATTCTATCCGCGGGCCGAATAAAACCTTCCGGCGGGCCGTAGTTGGCCCATCCCTGCTGTAAACGAAGGTCGAATTCCAGCTCCAAATGGGCTTGAAAACTAAATACATTACCATTAAGGAAAAACGAAGGAGATTCAATACTCTGATCTGCCATCTTAAAGTGTGAAAACGTCTCTGACAGCAGATTTGCGGGATGGGGAAGGGATGAGGGGACGAAAATAAGGGATGGATGTAGGCTGAATGAAATGTTATTGAACAAGAAATATTAAAAAAAATTTTTTTTTTAAAGTCAATTCCTACTTTTTTTTCACTCTATTGCAGAAAAGTCCTTTACAGGGTCTAAATGGTCGAGTGTCTAGCGCTCTGGCGCTCGGTACCACAGGTTTCGGTTTCGAATCCCGGCGGTGCCATGGATGTTTGCAGCAGTTTGGAATCCACTTTAAACCGTAGGTCCCGGTCTCATAGGACTGTAAGAGTGTCACGGAGCGAACGTCAGACTTCTACCTACGGGTGCTCCATCAGAATAGAAGCTGCATTCCACTTTCCTCCTTCCCTGAGTGACATGACAACAACACAACAACAGTGATTACCCTTAATTAAATATTAGCTCCCTGGCCCTTGGTGCGACAGGTTTCGGGTTCGAGTAACGACGATGCCATGGATGTTTGTAGTGTTTCACTCCACGGTTCTTTAAATCCGCTTTAATATAATATTAAAGTGATAACCCTTAATTAAATATTAGCGCTCTTTACGACAGGTTTCTGGTTCGAGTAACGACGATGCCATGGATGTTTGTATTGTTTTACTCCACGGTTCGGTGGTGAGGAATCCACTTTAAACCGTAGATCCCGGTCAAACATGACCGTAGAGCGTTGCGGGGGTTATTGTTATTCCGCGTCCGTAGCTTATCTTCAAGCTACACGCACCTCCTGGGTGGTGCTAAGTGAGTAACCTCGGTGCCGCTTTTACCTTAATTCAGGGATGAGCAAATTACGGCACGCCGGAAAGTTCTATCCGGCCCGCGGATAGAATTTTAATTTGCCGGTCGAGACAAATTAAAAGAAATATATATTTATATATTATATATCCATCTCCTTTTCTACTTTGATTAAATATTTTTTTTCAAAGGACCGATGATCATTTTACTTTCTCTATTTTTGTTTTGCAAAACATAAAAGACGGAAATAGCAAGCACAGACAGCTTTCAATCGTTAAAGTGTTAAACGCGGAAGTTGTTACAGCTGTAGCTTTGTTAGTTATAGCTGTAGATTGGCATCAACAAGCACTATCTTTTTCTCGGGGAGCAGACATATGGGAATCCAATATAGATAAGAAACTACTAAAAACGTAGAAAGAGCCTATGAACCTTAGAAAGAATTATTTCAGAAGTAGACTGACAGAGGAGCCTCATTCCTTAGAATCAGCACATTTCACTTCGAACCTCTCTATAAGCAACTTTTAAAAAAGAAATCGCAATTTCACTCATCTCATTAACATATTTAAATTGCAATACTTGTATATCGTTTTTAAAATTTTAGAAAAATTTATCCTGATCCGCCAAACCTTTTTTTTTTTTTTTTGATTTTTGGCCGCGACCGAAAAAGTTTGCCCATCCCTGCCTTAACGCATCCAAGACAACTGCCTAACTGTTTGCCAGCTGCATTAGTACAAAAAAAAATAATAATAATAATAATATTAAAGTAGCCATTACTTCGGTTCCAGAGAAGATGGAAGAAAAATTCAAACTGGGTTGCAAAGTTTTTTTTTCTTCTAATGCAGCTGGCAAATAGACCGTGATCTTTCGCCATAAGGAATGCACCGATGTTACTCACTTTGCATTACCCAGGGGGCGCGTGTCACTTGATGGTAAGCCACGGACGCGGACCAACAATGCCCCCGCAGCGCTCTACGACCCTCTTAGGACTGGGACCTACGGCTTAAAGTGGATTCCGAACCACTACAAACACCCATGGCACCGCCGGGATTGGAACCCGATACCAGAGAGCTAGCCACTCGGCCATCAGGCCCCTAAAATTTAGCACCATGCACCCACCAGGTTTATGGTGCGTGCATGGTGCTAAAGTTGTTGTTGACTAATCCTCAGTGTCCTGCAGTGCGGGACGGGCACCCCATGAGTGATCTACTCATGGATGGATGGAAAGGGGCAGCTTCTGTTGTGATGGAGTACTCGTAGGTAGAAGTCTGACTTTTGCTCCGTGACGCTTTTACAGTCCGTCACCTACGGTTTAAAGTGGATTCGGAAAGACTACAAACACCCATGGCACGCACCGCCGGGACTCGAACCCGAAACCTGTGGTACCGAGTGCCAGAGCGCCAGCCCCTCGACCCTTCAGGCCCCATGGTGCTAAAGTAAAAAGTGGGATGTAAAGTAAACGATACAGATTTAATATGACATTAAAATGAAAAAAAAAATCGATATCTTCGGACGAAATGGACGTTTGGAAAGTAATTGGAGAGTGGATGTGGGTGACAAAAGGCCCCGGATGAGAAAACCCCGGCTCGCGAATGGCGCAATCAGGGGGGACCGAAAAAAAGGTTGAGGGGGTCCCAGGGGGAGCAGGCCGTCCTAAAGAGCCTTTCTGCGTCAAATCAAGGGCGTTTGTTGGGGGTCAATCCCTCGTTTGCGACAGCCGGATGTCGAAAACCGCTCATTCGGGATTCTCTCCCCCCTCCCCTTGCCCAACAAAACACCCCGAGCTCATTGGAGAGCTGCCATTTTAAATCACATTCCTTCGTTTACACTGGCCTCCAAAAGTTAAGGAACGACCAGATTTGCTCCTGATTTGCAAATGAATGAATGTAGAAACACCAAAATTTGGATGACATGTGCATAAAACAGTTATGTATTGACAGCAACATAGAAGTTTATATTAAAAAAAAACCGCAAAAGTGATTTACAAAAAAAAAAAAAAAAAGCAAACTCACTGAAAAATCTCAGCTTTATGTGATAAAATGTCATAGAAACACAACAAAAATGAGTTTTAATAAGGGATATGCCCACCCCTAGCTTGAATGCATTGGCAGCATTGACTTTCCATCCTGTCAATTAAGTTGTCTGTTACCGAAATGGGAAGCCAGACACGGAGTAAGCTTTGTTCCAGCTCTCCTAAAGACCTTGGAGAAGAACTTAAAGCATCAACCTGTCGACCAAGATAGTCCCAAAGATGCTCTATCGGATTCAAGTCTGGAGATCGAGTTGATCATTCAATTCGCTCCAAACCAAGACCTTCAATATATTTCTCAACAACTACAGCTCGGTGAGTTCGTGCATGAGAATGAAAAAATTGCCAATTGCATCGGCATATGGGCGGACAAATGGAACAAGGATCTCATCTATCTAAAACCACAGTCCCTCCCTATAGCATATGCAGGTCAGTGTGACCCCCCCCCCGCTCCCCTGCCCAACAAAACACCCGAGGTCATCGGTGAGTTGCCATTTTAAATCACATTCCTTCATTCATTATGAAAAAAAAGTTCTATTTACCTTTTCGAAATTAAATAAGTAATAACAAAACTGAAATCCGCTCTCATTTCAATCAAATTTGTGTGAATACAATCTATAGGAGAAGAAAAAAAAATAATAAATGGATCCATTTCCACTGTGAACGGGAATGCATCCAAGTTCAATCACTTCAATTTCACGCATGCGCACATTAAAAGCGAAATGGATTGACCCACATTTCTGCTTCTTGTTCTAAAATGATAAATAAGGTTCGTGTTTTATGCACTTTTCCTCACATCACTTCCTGGCACATCACCTCCTTTTACTTCACAGCCTCACATCGCATCTCACTTTACACCATTTCATTTCAAATCACTCGATGCCCACATATGGCATCATTTGATTTCACATATTGCAACGCTTCCAAATGTTCCATGGAATTCCCAAATGTCGCCAAATCCCAGGGTTTCCAAAACTATGCTATGACTTTTTTGTTTGCTAAAAAAAATAATCATTTTTTCTTTTCTTTTTTTAAGATTTTATTGCTTGACATTTAGCGAAAACTGCGTTGTAAAAGTATATTTCAATCGAAGTCGCAATCCGCTGTTTGGCGCCTACTTGGCAACATAAGAACAGCGCCAATCTCCGAGCCTCCTAAACTATGATTTTACCCAATATTGAACTGACATGTCAGAATCGCGCAATAAGCGTTGTAAAAATTTTGGACTTACAGGTGAAAAAGAATAACACACTATCATTATTTTGAATGAAATCTCTACACTTGAACTTCACTTTGGCAAAAGATGGCATGATAAAAATCATCCAGTTTCAACCGGTTTTCGAGACGAAAACTTATTCGAAGATAGTAAAATGCCATTTGTTATTGCTTTGAGAATTATTTGTTGTAGTTGTGGGGATTTTCTTTTTATTTTCAACCCATTGTCCTATAACGGAGAATTAGCTGATACCTAATACTGATTAATATTTCTCTCATAATTATTAATATTCTGCTAATCTTTCTAATATTCCTTAAATATATATTTATACTTAATGTTCAACTTATCGGAAATAATGCCTACAAGAGATTATATATATATTTGTTTTGATAACAAAAGTTGTTTATAGCAAGTGTGATTATTGAGACTAATCCTCATCTCAAGCCTTCTTGGCCACATTTTTAATGAATTAGCATTCTTTTTTAAATAGTCGCAGCTCCAAATGCTTGTAATGCACTGACTACTATTTCTCTCACTTTTTATTATTATTATTATTAAGAGCGTTTTTCAACAGATTTGTCACAATTGCTAATTACTAATTTATTTTATACTAATATTTATTTAGTATTATTAATTACTTAACATTTATTTGGTATTGTTCCCTATTTGTTTATTAATTTATTATTGATCACTATATCAATGAGAACAATTTTTTTTGCCAACGGCCGTACCATGCTAGATCACCGAAATCAAGCATCATTGGGCGCGGTCAGTACTTGGGTGGGTGATTACCTGGGAACACCGCGTGCCGTTGGCAAATTTGGGACCTGAATGGCCGAGTATCTAGCGCTCTGGCGCTCGGTGCCACAGGTTTCGGGTTCGAATCCCGGCGGTGCCATGGATGTTTGTAGTGGTTCGGAATCCACTTTAAGCCGTAGGTCCCGGTCTCCTATGACTGTAAGAGCGTCACGGAGCAAAAGTCAGGCTTCTACCTACGGGTGCTCCATCACAACAGAAGCTGCTTCCTTCCCCTTCAATCATGAGTACGTACGGGCTCGTGGGCTTGGCCAGCCAAGTGGGATAAGAAACAACAACAACACAATTTTTTTTTTTGTAATAAAGTTTATTTGTATTTTTATTAAAACAGAATAATAATCCATCCATTTATGCACACATCTGACCGTATTTTATGTGGGGAAAAATTCAAACAATTCATAGAATTAATTAACTGATAGTTTTTTTGTGCTAGAGATGATGCTACCTGGTACCCACCTTTAAAAGCAAACAATGCTATCCAACTCGTGTTCCAGTGGCAATGCACGCAGGAGGGATGAGGTTCGAATTAGCTGGCGGCGTCGTTGCATTCACTGATTTCTCGCAAAACGAGGAGCCCCATGGGGATTACGACCACGGTGATAACGACATTGATTATCAGGCTGTCAAGTGGAAGTTTTTCCAAATATTAAAGAGTTTTTGCATACCGTATTTTGGACGCCTGTTAGCTTTTTCTCCCTAGCGCGCATGCATGTAGGAAACATTATTACAGATACGCATGCGCAATTTCCTATGAGCATGCGCGCTAGGGAGAAAAAGCTAACGGACGTCCAAAATACGATATGCAAAAACTCTCTTTTATCACATACGATGCTGTTCAGTTACCCCTAAAAGTCCCCGTCTGAAAGTACTGCTCACCTTTCTCACTGGGTCTTCTTTTCTGTCGCGAAGCCACAGGTGAGGTGTGACGATAAGAAAAGAAAATGTGGAAACATGAGCAGTTAGCGTTTAGGGGGACGGAGCTCGTTGCAGTCATTATTTTTTACAAACACGACAGCGATTGTGATAGTATGTGTAAAAGCGTCTCGCATATCAATAGCCAGGCTGAACAGTGGGAGTTTCTAGGGTTTTTCTAGGGATTTGTGAGAAAATTAACTTTTAAAAATTAAAATTAAACTCTTCGTCCTAGCCCATACATCGGCTGTTTATGGCAAACATAAGGCCCACCGATGTCCAGCAACGAAAAAAAATAATAATAATAATATCTGTGAGTAAAAATGTCGTGCGAGGGAAGTTAACTGGATTCTGCAGGTCTTTGTTGGAAAAGGGAAAACTGCTTCAGGTATTCGTCCACAGATCTTGTGGAACAGATATATATTTATATATAATTTTATGATGAAAACAATGATTTGAAATACATGAATAGGATGAATTTGAAATTTAATTTATAGTGTAATATGAAGGAACGACGTTATACTGGAGTGTGAGAAAACGACTTTATACTGGAGTAGGAAGGAAAGAATTTGTACTGGAGTATGAAGAAACGACTTTATGCTGGAGTAGGAAGAAATAAATCCTTTTCTCCGTTTCTGACAAAATAGGTAACCTCTTGTGATAAATGAAGTAAGAAATGAATGTACATTTATTTTTACTAGATTTTTGTCCCAATTCTATGCAAATCTCCCTACATATATATATACACAATATATATATATAATATATATTTATAAAGAGATAGAAAAGTGCTACAGGCTTTTCCTTCTAATTTTGAAGATAATTCGATTCTGAGAAAATAGAAGCAATTCGCCATTCCAAGTCAAGAGAGAAGAGAGGAAGAAAATCGAGAGCACCCCCCCCCCGAGCCGTGGGTGCCCCTGGGGTGTCCTCTGCATAATGCAGCGAGGGGCGAGGAGGGAGGCTGATTGAGGAGGGACCGGTCACTCGACTCCGGGGTGAAAGTGACAAAATGTGTGTCTTCTCCTTTCTCCCCCCTCGGGGTTTGCTCCCGGTATTTGCGCTTCCGGTCCACGGCATGTCGCCTAATGAACCCAAAGAGGCCGAATTAGCCCGATTCAGGTACGGGGCTCTTTTCCCGATTATTCAAATAAAAGGCTGTCTAACCTAGGGCAGGGGTCTCCAAACTTTCCAGTTTTAGGACCATACTGTTTGCTCCAGTAAATACCAAGGGCCGAAACCGCTTTAATTTTTCTACCATTATCTATGATTTCTAGACCAGTCGGCGAGTACGCGCTCTGAGCGAGCATACGCTTGCTAAATTCGCTTCATTCTCCAAAATGAAGTACACGAAGAATGTTTATAGATCTAAGTTAACCGATGAGCATCTTAAATCTATTTTAATAATTGGCACAAGTAAAATTGATCCGCTATTGTCAGTGAAAAATCACAATTACACAAATCTCATTAGTATTTTTTTACAAGTGGATACCCCACAGTTTCATTCGCGTTAATTTAGCTTTTCAATTCCTGAGGGATTTTCAGGATAAAAATCATATGTTCGATTCAGGATGTATACATTCCAAACATCGATATACATACATGTGCGATACTCTTTACCCCAACATAACTACCGAGGGTAACTGCGGGATATTCACTAGTTTATAATGTTAGTGGGATTCATTTCAATTACTTGTTAGTTGTTATGCTTAAGTTAAATTTTCTGCTTATTATGCTTGTCATTAAACATTACCTATCAAGTCAATAAAACCGAGTTATTGTCATTCTGTGTTTTTGTATCCAACTTATTACAGCAACAATAAGCTATTCGATGTCGCGGGCCGGATGGATGATACTGGCGGGCCGTAGTTTGGAGACCCCTGACCTAGAGGGCCGCGATATCTGCAACGCAGAGTCTTAACAGAGCACATTATTGCAAACATTGGTTTTTCGTGATACTAGTGGCGAAAATTTAATTTAAAAATAATGCAGAAAGGGGAAAAACACACACATTTATTCGAAAATATTAGGTATATGAAAGCAGGAATTTTTAAAAATAATAACCGATAACAGAAAAACCCTTTGCGTTTTTAAAGGTAACACATAATTTTTTATTTACTCATCGGAATACGGTGGAACATGTGTCTGTGTGTGGGGGGGGGCGTTCTCCTGTTCCCCTGATGGAAACAACAAAACCGACTACCGATATTGCTTTCTGGGGTATTTTTATGGATACTCGTCAGCATTTACGTATCATATGGGACAAAACCCAGAAAATTTTCACCAGGCAGACTAACAATCGATACGAGACCTTTTACCCATATTATCCCAGTCATCATCGAGTCTCCTTGTAAGTGCCATCAGAAGATTGGAACCTGAACCCTTCTTGATACCAGCTACATAGGCCACTCGTGGACTATGAATCTGATTTTATTTCTTTCTAAGGAACGAAATAAACAAGCACACGAACACACTATGTACAGGGTGGTCATAAAATAAAATCTCTGTTTAGCGGCCTCTGCAGCTAAAACTAATGACCAGAAATTTCACATACTGACGGCGGAATTGATTCATGGGGAGGTAATTTTCAAAAAAAAAAAAAAAAAAAATGTCGCCGATGGGGGAGATCTTGGCACTGCTATTACATACTAAATTTTAAGTTTACACAATCTAGTAGACTTTTCAAATTTTACGTACTTTACTTGGTACAAGCTTACGTACTTTACGTGGTACAAGCTTACATACGTTACGTGGGCAAGCTTACGTACTTTACGTGGGCAAGCTTACGTACTTTACGTGGTACAAGCTTACATACGTTACGTGGTACAAGCTTACATACGTTACGTGGGCAAGCTTACGTGGCAACAGGTCCTGTTACCTTCTCAATTACTGGTGAGAAATATTGGCATATGCTGGAAGCTTTTGTCCCTCCTGAATTTCAGCAAAGACATTGCTTGGGCACGACAATTTTTATGCAAGATTGGAGCACGACCACGTATTCTTCGTTCGGTACAGAACCTTTTATGGCTGTATTTTGGTAATGAGAAAGTTATCCGCCAATGTTTTCCGATGAAATGGGCCCCTGACATCACCGCATGTGACCTTTGGCGCTTCGTCATATCATATGGATTTAATACTAGTAGCGCCATCTATGTGTCAGACTACGAACTTTTCAGCCCAACTGTTAAATTGTAACATCCGAATGATCGGTTTCTACTACAGTTGGCGCTCTACAGATCCGCCATTCGATGGTCCGGGACTTTCTATAATCCGACACCCATCAAGTAGATGGCTTTTTGATTTTCGCGGGTGTATTCGGGCGTGTGTTGACCTTCACAGCATGCCGCATTTTCTCTCAGTTTTCATTTCAGGACAAACCGTACCGTAAATGTAACCGTACACCCTAGATAAGGCTGAATCTGTTACCCGTCTGCCAATGAGGTGGCAAATGTTCTAGGATCCCAGTGCACCCAATGGCAGCTGGAATGCAGAAGTACGCTGGCGTCATTGTTGTAGCCACTGATTTCAGAAATGAAGATTCTGACATCGTGTGTACAAATATCTAGTCAAAGCCCATCGATGTTCTACACTCACTTTTCTTACAAGTTGTGTGTGTGTGGAGGGGGGGTTACATAGCCCTAGGAACAGGGGGTGAGGTCTAGAAGGAGCCTACATAGGCCTAGGAACAGGGGGTGAGGTCCAGAAGGAGCCTACATAGCCCTAGGAACAGGGGGTGAGGTCTAGAAGGAGCCTACATAGTCCTAGAAACAGGGGGTGAGGTCTAGAAGGAGCATACATAGCCCTAGGAACAGGGGGTGAGGTCTAGAAGGAGCATACATAGCCCTAGGAACAGGGGGTGAGGTGAAGGAGCCTACATAGCCCTAGGAACAGTGGGTGAGGTCTAGAAGGAGCCTAAATAGCCCAAATCGGTATAGGGGTAAGGTCTAGAAGGAGCATACATAGCCCTAGGAACAGGGGTGAGGTCTAGAAGGAGCATACATAGCCCTAGGAACAGGGGTGAGGTCTAGAAGGAGCATACATAGCCCTAGGAACAGGGGGTGAGGTCTAGAAGGAGCATACATAGC